CCCCCCCCTCTTTCTCCCTGGCAAATTGAAACCAAACGAAAGCAGCCGAATGCACTTCGCGGGCTGGGCCGACGAGGGAAACCTCGAGTGTCTCCTGGCCGGAATGACCCTTCTCTTCAACCCCAGCCTGTTCCAATCGGAGACGTTCTCCATCGTCAATATCCAGGCGATGTCGGCCGGGACCCCCGTGGCCGCGTTCGGCATCGGTGGGATGCTAGAGTACGGCAACCTGGCACTCTTGGACGACACCGACCCCGGCGCGATCTCGACGGCGATCGCGGGTATCCTACTTGATCGCCCACGCCTCGAGGCCTTGGCCGAGAGGGGCAGGGCACACGTTTCGTCCGCCTTTAGGGCGGACGTTGCGTTGGATCGCTGGGCCGAACTCTACCAGAGTCTAGATGTTTCTAACAGAGGGATGATGTGCAACGACTAGGGCTTCTTCGCCGTGGAGAGACGAGGGGTTCGGGTGTGCGTTAGAGGTGGGTAGATTCAGAGACTCTGTTTCGGGCGCTTTGCGGTCAGAGGAAGGACGCTGGTTCCCTCCTTGTTCGTCCCTGTCGTGTGTCGTAGACAGCAGGGGTTACAAGCACGCACGTCCGCGTCTTGAGCGGTCATGAAATACATAACGTTGGCAACGAATCGAGGCTGTGTACACCATCCATGAAGCATCGGTAGCTATCGTATCGGTTAGGGTCTGCGAGAGGGAGGACCTCATCTTGGAATTGTAGATTCAGGACTATCAAGTGTAGAGGTGCTGTTGAAACTGGTTGCACAAGAGGCCAATGCACTTTCCCCGTCGACTGGTGAACGTGCATCGATTCAGAGACAGCAGTTGTCGAGTTTCATGCAACCTGGGGTAATCAACCCGTTTTTTTGACAGGCCAACCAAAGACCTCAAACCCTGCAAAGAGGACACACACTTGAACCATCGACGAAGGCGGCAATACTTGGAGTTTGATTGCTTCTACATCGCTGGTAGTTTCCCGATTACCAGAACGCGTGAATATGCTGGTTGGTCCCGACCACGGTAAAGAGGGCCCGTCAACCAGACACAGGTGGGTAAGTTGTTCCATCTACAGCTAGCTGGCTAGGCGAAAACGTTGCCAAGTTTACAACTTTACTGGGTGGGGAGGAGGGGGCACAATGTAACCGCCATTCTTCCCTATTCAAGAGGAAAGCTATCACTGACGGGTGCTTCTAAGGCTCGGAGAGAGGCCCAAAAAAAGAAACACAACCGGCAACCAGGGGTATTCCCACCTCTCTGTTGACCTGGGCCCATATCGCTGTCATCATCAGAAACTAACCGCCTCAGAAGCTGCGCTATTATAGTGCTTCGCGCGGAGACAAACCACACACGCTGGCAACGCGCCAGCGAATCGCACACAGCCACGCGTAAGCGATTGGGCGGACATGAGTCCAAGGTAGCTTTCAATGCTTAACACGCTTGGCATCCAGTAACCAAACACAACGAGCGGACGCTGGCCTTCCTCGTTCCTCTTGCTGTCAAGCAAGCGCCTGCCTCTTGACAAAAAACCGTGGAAATTCCGATTCCTTGTGTTGGGGGCCCCGCCATCGGCCAAGCGGTTACCCCGTGTGCCAGTGGAACCGCCGTGGCCTCTTTCCCAAACACCTCATTCGCTGTGGTCACGGAACAAGACCAAGTCTAATGCCTCACAAGCAGACATCCCTGCCCCCAATGATGAGGACCACCACCACGTCTATCCCTCATACGCAAACATCCTGGCTCATTGTGACCCCGAGCGACACCAAGTCTAGTGTTTAACACGCATACAAAAAAAAAAAAGCTCCCCCGCGACCGTACCCCATCGACAGGCCTCACGGCAAATCAAATATAGCTCTCGCTCATTGTCTCTGCACCTAACCACCGCGAAACACGCTTGTAGACGCCACGGACATCGGAACGCCATAAAAAGAGCGCAACGCCTGGCAAGCAGGTAAAGTAGCGCGATCGGACGTGGGGCACCCCGAACACATATCTTGTGCTCACTAGCCCAGGGTGCAATTTGGATCAACAGGCACACATAGCGGAGCGCAAGTGCCCGCGTATGGCTTCAAATCAGTACCGCTCCACGCACTCTCGCCCTGCTGCAGAAAACGCCATCAACGCGGCCGGGGGCAAACAACAACCTCCCTCTCCAGATGGAACACATCGATAAAACGCCAACGATGGCTTCCTCTACACCCACCCCCCGTTTTGCACCGACACATCACTCCAAGCCCTCAAGCTCCCGGTGTTTTTTTCCTTTCCCGCCATTGGTCCCGCCAGCCCGCAGTTCTCCCCTACCCCCTCACTGAGCAGTGGCAGTGGTGCCTGCCTCCTGGCATCCGGGTGACGTTGCGCCCTGCACCTTGCTTCCCTGAAGGGAGGCGAAGCCTTCGTTATTTCTGTTCCCGTTGAGGAAGAACACGACACACGTGATGTCGTCGTGCATGCTGCGCCTCCTGTTCCCCTCCGGCACTTCCTGGAGCTCCTCTACGCTGATACCGTGGTTTTCCGCCGCTCTCTCCAAGACACGCTGCGCAGAAGTAAGGGCAACCGGGGGGCGGGGGGAGTAATCATGTTTGCATGCCTTGTTTAGGCCATTGACCACGCGTCCTCGAGAGGAGGAGCATGTCGAACGGGGGGGTGAGAAGCCATGATCCCTCGGTAATTTGTGGGTACGAACAAAACAGCAACTGGTTGGCCGCAGTACATTCAAACTAAGGAGTGTTGGATGGATTTGGACCGTGTCTGGAGCTTTGATACAGCGACAATACTTCGCCCGCCACTGACGCGGTGTAACGCCAACGTTAACGACAAACTTTGAACAACACAGCTCAGACCTGCAATCCATTCCTTCCTCGACGTTATTCTATCTGTCCTTGGGCTTTTACGTCTTGTTTGCCAAGCGGCGATCATCCACTGCGAAATGCTGGCACCGGCGTAGCAAACCGGGACCTTGCTAGGTGTAGAAAAATAGTATCCTGCGAGGGAACGACACCCCCCCAACAATCCACCTCCCCACACGAACAACCGAGCTCCGGGCTTCACACGTCACACTTTCATGAAAAGCCTACAAGTAGTACTTTAATTCTGGAGCAACCCACAGGACGAACTCCTGGTAAAGTTGCAACAAAAATACACCATCATGTGGCTCCAGGCTAAATTGAACAACCCAAGATTCTTACTCATCTGAACTCAAACAACACCCAATTGCGCACAATACAAGTGCCAAACGATACCACCATGAGGATGTCTTTCCGGGCAACGTCGGAAGCATCCGCCAAGAACTTCTTGTCAGCAACGAAATCAAACGGTATGGTAGTGGTCCCGGCAAGATGCCGGTTGCCTTGTAGAATGCCGGCGAAACCGTCCCGCACTGATGGAATACTCAAGTCTGAATACTGCCGGTTGCCCGAAGTAATGCCGGTGAAATCGGCCGGGTCGCACCGCCACAAAACTGGGACAGGTACTGCACAGCCAAGCACCAAGGACAACAAGAGCAGCGGCAGTGGCGACGACCAAATCACGCGGCACGCACCTGCACTAGGCAGTCGCTGGCGGACTCCGGGTGTTTATCGCTGTAGGCCGCCTTCCGGACAATCTCCACGGCCTCCAGGTTGGTCACGTGGTCCCACAGCCCATCCGACGCTAGGATAACGAAGTCATCGTTTGATTGGTCAATCTCGTGAACCGAAATCTGCGGCGGGGAAGCCGGAAACACAACAGTCCCGTTGGCGGCAAGCGATCCCCCCAAGTGTGTTGTTGGATCAAGCAAGTGGACGAGGGCTATTGTAGTAGCACTTGCTTGGGCGCACGTCACACAGCGGGTGTACGTAGCTCTAGTGTCCTGGAGCGACGGGCTACGCATAGGACGGCGGTATCATTTTGCTTCAGGCGGGAACGTGAATACACATCGAATAGTCGGCCTGCCGGAGGAACCGGACGAGCACAACGAGGGGAAAATGCCCTGGAGAGATATAGTAGCCACACATGCTGCCACCACGACAGCTCCAAAACATCCCGCGTGGTCTCGTGGCACGATTCTGTGCCGCAGTAACCATTTGAACCGTGGATTTTACCGTTATTCTCACGGGATTCCAGTGCTTGCGGAATCGACCGACGTGCATCTTCGGTTCGGACGGCGCTCTCTACCCCAAGGTAAGAGGGGTGGGGGGTGGGGGGGGGGGCGTACTCTTATGTTTTGCATGCCTTAGCGGTCAGACCTTTGACCACGCGTCCTCGAGAGGACGGAGCATTGTTCCCACAGGACCGATCACCGATGGCCAATCGTTCCTTTGGGGAGGGGTGTACTCTGATCATATTAACTTTTTCGCAGTAACGTAACATCAACAACATCGTCGTGGACCTGATTGCCACCATCACCACACTACAAACTGCCCCCGCCAACAGCAACGGCCACCACCCATCGTTCACTGCTCCCCCTCCGCCTCACCTCCGGCTCAGCCGTGATGTAGGGTGGGGTGTAAGGAGGCGGTAGGAATCTCCCCGCCGATCTGTGCGTGCCCTCCTTCCCGTTGAACTCCGGGTACTTAAGGTACGCGTCCCCGAATGAACGGGTCGGCTGGGTCAAAATAAACGCCGATGAGGACAACAGCATGAAGTTGCGAAAATTGAGGGAAGAGGGTAGTCGGGGCGAGATACTCCAAACACAACAATAAATTACTTCAATTTCCAACATATTTTCTGGTGGGAGGTTTGCTGCCTTACGCGTATGTGGAAACGCCCCATCTTTTATGTCTTAGACGAGGACAAGCCAGACTGCGAATGAGCATAGAAACAGCCTATGTGGAGCTGGGGTTTCTACAACACCGTATGGATACATCAAGCACAATGTATACCGTCGATTTTCACGATTTTGGTCGTGTCTTCCGCAGACAAACAGCACCCGCTGCCACAACCGCAGAGACACTACCATCTCGTAGTAGTCTACGCAGGTTTTTCAAGTACCCAAACATGCTGGATAAACTATAGAATTGGGTTGTGGTTGGGGTCAGGGATACGGTCTGCGTGCTCCCTCCCTGGCCATTTTTCGTGACAAACCTCTCGTCGTACTCCCAACCACACCTGCAGTCTCCCCTTCACGTAGCACGAGGCGGGCCTCTTGCAGGTGTACACGTCCCCCTCGAACGGGTGCAGCTTCTTAAGCTTAGCCTGCTCAACCTGCTCCTTCGCGTTGTGGTCGTTGCTGAGCGCGACAGCCTCCGGGTCGCCGTCAGGCCCCGTACTCCAGCCCCCGACCACCCTGGTAGGCTTGCGGCGTCCGAGCACCGCCCTGCAGTCTCCCGCGTTCGCCACGAACAGCCGGTTGTCACGCACCAGGGCCATGATGGCGCAAGCCCCCGTGCGCGCGACCGCCCCAAAGCCCAGCTCGAATGCGGCCTTCACCTGGTAGAGGTACTCTCTCTCCACCCGCAAGAACGCCTGGGTGATGGCACTTTTGACCTGCGCCGAGTAGTGCGTTGTCGGGGCCACGTTGTAGTGTACGAGGGGGGAAGGGCGGGGGGGGTCAGTCCGCCGGGCCAAAGCACAGCACCTGCCTTTTACATTCAGCGCTGCAATATTCAGCACAAAAGACCTGTGAACCGATCATTCTATTCATTCTGGACGTCGGTTACTAAACATCTGAACCTGCCATCCCATTCATCCTGAACCTACCGATATATTTTTCACGTACGTCAGCCCAAGTCTCGCAGGAGGAACGAGAAAGTGGCTACAAGAAGCGGCAACAACCAACGAGGGCCGTTGGGATCGAGAATATTAACATTCTATGCATAGAGCGAGAAACATACAGCACCTTACAGAGTGGTATCGTACTTTTGGAAATTATACACTACTTGTATACATGCTGCATGTGGGACACGACTTTTTACGCTGAAATTTCATCGAAGGAGCCCCGGGTCACTCCGTGTTCCATCCTTTCGGCGGAACTCGTTTCAGACAACTTGCATCCAAATGTCTAATATGCCGTTTCAGCAGCAGTGGCACTACGGTCGACCTCGCTTAAGGATGCGCATGGTTTCTCCTGAAAACAAGCGTCCTTAAAGCGGGGTTGCGTCCTGAAATCCAGGGGACGATAGCTCACCATCCCCGAGGCCAATGGAGACATGCCATACCTCAAACTACGTGTCTTTTGCTAAGGAAGGGTGTGGTACGAAAGGTCGGCATCGCCGAGACGACTGGCAACCGTTTGTTGACGTCGATCATATTCACAGTACTCAAAATGAGATGTACAGCAGTCGGGGACGTGTTGAAAACAACTACAGCAGTACACCAGTTTGTACTTGGCCAACTAATGTACTGCACAGCCGGCAGCGGAAGGAGGAAAGTCCAAGTAGACATATATTTATCTCATTCTTGTGAAACACAAAAAAACGAGCGTATATCAGCGTCGCACCGAGGAACACCAGTACATTTAACTGTCCCGGCGGAGACCAAAATCTACCCTGATGGCTTTTCCTTCCACAGATATATCGCGAAGACTGCCCTGAACCTCCCCCCGCGGCTTGGCTCTAAACAGCTCTGTTGAGTTTTATGAGCAGACGAATGAACGGTCTCCGAAACAAGGTACTGCGTCTTAAGGTACTCGCCACCCCTTCCCTTCGCGTACAAATACAGATAGCGCCCGCAGTTAAGAATTATTGGAAGAAAAAAGGCTCAACTTTGACGGAAAATAAGAAAGCAGGGCTAAGAAACACAGCTCAATCTCGGCCACAACGTAAGAAACGCCCCAGCACGAAACGTGATGGTGCGATACCCCCATGACATCAGAAATCTGAGGTGCTCCCGACCCCCTCCGAAGCTCAACAGANCGGTCACTTTTTTGCCGCCAAAATCGCCCCGATTGGCACCCCTAACAGTGAGAACTGTACTGCTGTAGTACTGCCACACATCACGGACAACCATACGCTCTCCGCTGTTGTACGGGTTTGAT